AATAATAATATTAAAAGAGTAAAACTTTTTGATAAACCTGGTTTGGCTCAATCCTTTTTTGAATTTTATGATCAGCCCGGAATTAAGCCTGAGGACAAGCCAATAACTAAGGCCAAATGTAAGATCGAAGGTTGTCAAACTCAATATGTATGGCATGGTTCAACAACTAATATAGTCAACCACCTACGCGATATTCATCATATCACAAAAACGTCGCTTGACCATAGAAACCACTTTATCAAAACCTTATTCAGTATCAAGGCAACAGAAGCTTACACGAGACGTTATCACATTTTTTATTTCCTGCACACTTCCCTTATCTTTAATAGAAAATAAAAGTTTTCGTATCTTTTTAAAATCATTTGACTCTCGATACAAACCGCCATGCGTTAATACAATTAAAAATGAAATTGTAAATGGAACAAATCATACAACTCAAATTATTAAACGTATGCTTACACAAACAAATACAGTATCACTTACATTTGATTTATGGACTTCCCGAGCACATGATTCTTATCTAGGCGTAACCTGCCACTGGATTTCAGATGAATTTCGCATTTATGATCTTACATTAGGCGTAATCGAAATGGGTGCATATAAAACCGCTGATGATATCGTTGATTCTATTGGACCTATGCTTGAAGAATTTGGTCTAGAAGAAAGTAAAATATTAAGTATAACTACGGATAACGGCTCTAATGTCAAATTAGCTGTTACACGATTATCAGCAAGACTTTCAGTATCAAATCCAATTGCTAATATTTTTTGTGCTGCGCATACGTTGCAGCTAAGTGTTGAAGCAGGTTTAGAGGTTGCACGCAACTTACTTACAAAATGTAAAGCATTAATTTCACTTTTAAGTGGAGAAAAAAAAAGAAAACAATTAAGAGAAGCTCAATTCAGGGTAGGCATATTAAAAGCTAACATAGTTGATGTAATAACTGATGTAGCAACACGGTAGAATTCCACCTACATGGCTCTTGAAAGGCTTGGTGAGCTCGAACGGCCAATTAAATGGCTAACCAATGACCTTGAAAATTCAAACAACAATGATCATCGTCGTGATGGTGTTAATATTCGTGACAAGTTATTATCAAATGAAGAATTCAATGTTGTACGGGCTCTTGTTAAACTTTTATGCCCATTTGATAAGGCCACTGAAATTCTTTCCGGATCGAATTA